TCAACTATTTTTATTACACAAATTGGTTCGCCTTTCTCAATGTTATTTAGCCGTTTTACTGCTGCCGGGCAGTGTTATTTTGATGGCGTCGAATGGAAAGTGAAAACTGTCAATGCCTGAGTTGGCAATTAGTCAGTGAAAGTGTAGCAGATGGCACGAGGCTCTCTCGTGTGGCTCTTTGATGGGCCAATTAAAGTGGCTAAACGCACAAAATACAGAAGACATCATAAAAAAAAATAAATAAATAAAATGAGTTAAGTGTGTGTCCCATAAATCAATGTCAATTAATTAACTTGCCGCCCCATTGAAACTGATTCATGGAGTTAAAGAAATTAATTAGCCAAAGGATAACTATAGGAAAGTTTATAAAAAATATAAAATAAATATTTTAATTGGGCGCTTAATTTATGTCCCGCAGCTTAATATTCAAGATCAGAAATGTGGATATAAAAATACGCTTCCCCCATTTGAAAATAGACAGCGACGGCGACAGGCAAAACAAAAACCTGAATCATACAATTTATATCAGCTTTGACTATGCTGCGTTTTTATATTTTTTTTTGCAATAAAGTATATATAGAAAAAATATATAAAAAATCGGCGAGCAGCCGCAATAACAACAACTGGGCGAGCGGCAATCGAAATACACTTGAACGTGAGTGAAACAAAATTCATGACCCACTTTATAAAACGCTTTTTCTTTCATCCATGACCCACTTTATTATTTGTAGCAATGACTGTAGCCGAGAGCGACCCACAAACGCCGCCAGAGGAAGCGAGAGGGCAGGCACTGTGCTTCTCTCTCCCTCAGAGCGGAGACCCAAACCGAACATATGTTTTATTCACACAATTAGTTTGCTAAAAATGCAGGCTTTACCCACACAGAAATTCAGAGAGAACACAAAAGCAGCAGCTGAGCAAATGAGGTTTACCGGGGGGGGGGTGAGGGATCGAGAAGTGTCAGCTAGACGAGACTAGACTTAGTTAGCTCGGCTTGGACAAGTGCACAGGTCTCCTACGATTATGGCGAATGTCAACTCAAACCGACGACAAAAGCTCATACAAATGTCCAAAATAATACGTTAAGGATGGGTTAATTTTGGGCATAGCTGCTTTATAGCTTGCTTTTGTCTAAGAGATCATTTTAGATTCAATTACTAGAATGACGATTTATTTATATGAATCAAGTGATTACTATTATTATAATTATTATATTATAAATACATTTTCCAAGTGCCAAGTTTTAGTTTATTTTTAGCTCAAGGGTTCTTGTTAAAATTAACATTATTTTTGCAAGTGTCTTCACCAGATTTCCTTGCCTCTGAATACGTAGTAGAAACTCCAGTTATTTCACATGTATATTTAACATATTTGGGAATCCCCAGAGTAAGGTTGACCTTACATGAAATAGCCCGCATATCTTCGTTTAGTCAGAATGAATCAGCATTTTTGTGCAACTTGTCATTCAAATTCCATAGAAACTTCGGAACAGACACAAACAAACAAGCTGACAATAAATATTTACAAATTGTATTTGTTTTTGAGGGTGATATCAAGTCCAGATTGATGTCAAGGATACTGTCGAATTTGCGGAAGTGAATCACTAAAGAGAACTTTAAATACTTTGCAGCTTAAACATTTTACTGCAAATTTTTAGAAATTTACAGCATTCAGTCTATCATTTAATTAATTGATTTTATTTCTTGCTTATCCCAACAAATTCAATTGCTTACATAGCAGTTTAGACTTTTTCCTTTTTTTTTTTTTACAATTTTAGCATAATCCTCTTTGAATTCCAAATTCCAAGTTTGAGGCGACAAGCTGAGCGTCACGTAGACCTTCAAAAACCCAAAAATCTAAATAAATCTTTGAGCTTTGCCCCTGAGGTTCGTTTGCTCTTCTTGCTACCCTCACTCGCTCTCCTTCCTGGCGCACAGTGCGTATGAGTGATGTTGAATTGCATAGCCACACAGACTTCATAATAATCATCATCATCACGTGAGTCGTGACTCAATTTGTCTAAGCTAGACTCTCGCATAGGTGAAAATAAAAGCTCAAAAAAGCTAAAGCCAAATTCCAAAGCGACGCTTGACATAATAATCAACATTAAATATAATGAGTAATTTGTTTTCTCTATACTTTGATTCTCTTTGTGCCATAATCTGATTCATGTGAAATAAAACGGCCTTGCCAGTTTGTTTAAGCCACCATTGGTATGCAGATTCATCATCAAAGAGTTGAAAAGAGGAAAGTTAATACCAGAACATTCGGGGAATCAGCTTTGCTGACAGGTTGATGAATAGATTTTGTGATTTCGCAATTATAAAATGGTAATAGTTCTGAAAAAGTCTTTTCAAAATTATGAAATTAACTAGAACTTTATTCCCAAAATATTTCGTTTTGCTCGTTTTGTTAACGAATTAATTAGTTTTATTTAAACTTTAAATCCATTGCAATTTCTGTGACAGCCTTTTGTTACTCCCCAAAACAAAAGCCTGTATTTACTATAAATAAAAAACCAACAAAGCCATGGCGCAAATAAGTCAACTGGCTTACTGCATTAATTGTAATTTAATTAATTTACGCTATTCGCTTCTGTTTCCCTCTTTTCTGGCTGCCTTAATTAAGCGCGTCAATCATACGCCCTGTGGAACGGCGAATAGCCGAATAGAGAATAGTGCCGGAATGTGGCAGAGATGAGGATGATTGTGATCATAGCGGCCTGCCACATTTAAGTGTCGCCCTGTCAAAATAACCAGCAACAAAAAGAGGCAGCACCAGCGAAAAGAATTCGCACAATTATTGCGCTTGTCAAGAGTGGGAGATAGGGACAGGAAGGTGGCAGAGCAGAGGAGTAGCGACTTGGTATACGTCACTCATTTTAGCGCCCATTGCATTCACATTTTGGCCAACTGCCCGGCTCAGCCAACACCCTGCATTCTTTCTTAAGCTACTTGAAATACTCTTACAGGAATTATGTTTACTAGAAAATGTTGGTGGAAAAGTACTTAAAAATGTTTAGATTAAGCTGCTTACATTTTCTGTGATAAGAAAATCCGCGCTTAAGCGCACAAAATCTGCATTTCTTTAAAGAAATTAATAAAATATAAATACAAGGATATCCAGCACTGATAAAAAAAAGACAATTTTGCAATTTAATACCTGAAATAGCAAATAGAACTTGCTTCACTAGGGTATACCACAAATTGGTTCCTTCTTGTTTTTTTTTTTTTTTTGCTCCTCTTCTGCGCTGATTACATCTCCCCATCGTGTCCAGTTGCCTGTAATTATTTTCTGCAGTTCTCTGGCCCGCTCCCCCAATCTCTGGGGCTCTCTCTCTCTTCATTATGCATATAATGTAATTAAAAAAGTGGAAGAATAAGAAGCGGTTGCTACACCGGGTGGTCCTCAGCTTGAGCTAAAGGTGCTCCAGAGCTGGGACTCCGTTTCACGCTCAACTGGTTAAGTGAGTCTCGGAGGTGAATGCAAAGACTGACTGCATCTGCAATAAAAAAAAAGGGGGGAAACAATACTATAGTTAAATGCAAATCGAATTGATGAACCCACTTGTTCTCTGTGATTAAACATATTTTCTCCACTTCATTTTCCGTTACCTGGGAAAAAGACGACGCCTCGAGTGTCACTCAAAACGCTAAAGAATAAAATTTATTCCGCACTTTAAGCACACATAAAGTAAACAATTAATCACGTAACCAAATGAAAACTGACATGAAAGAAACCCCGAAAAAAAAAGAAAAGATTGGCCAACAGTAACAACATGAGTAATGGCCATGATGACCACTTGAAGTCCGGGTTCTAAACCGGCTCCGGGATCCGCAGCGTTGTCCAAAAGCTGACAACATTAATTTGACTCACGTTGCGCTGGCAACCCACCAGCAGCAGAAGTCGGGGGTCACCACCACCTTCCCGGAATATCTCCCAAAATCCGGGGCTAACAAATGATTAAGTTTGTGCGGCTACAAGAACACGGAGTGAGATATATCATCCGAACATCCTTTGAAGTGGTTGGTACAACACAGTACAAAATGAAGATGCCACATTCCGCAGGAAAAATGCTTGTTTTCCCGGAGAAAAGGTAAAAATAATTACGGCTCGTGAAAATAGTTGAGATTTGGCAGGGAAAACCTCAAGGCAACAAGGGTAATTTCATGGGAAATGGTTTCTACTGAAAATGGAAATGGTTAACTCTTTAGATTTGGCATTAAAATATATTTAAGACAATTAGATATTATTTAACTATTATTTCTTCAATAGTTTTTGGTTATATTATAAGCTCATCTTATCATCTTATTTCTAAATACATACAGTGATATGTTTGTATATGCTATAACTCGACAGACTACCTAATGCGCAATATAATAATAATTATATCAGTAGAAGTAAATCGCTAGCCCAAGACAACACCAACCACAAAAGCTGAGCTACAACCCCAAGCCAAACCACACACAGCAGCTAATTGTTTTCGCTGCCTTCCCTGCTCTGCTCAAATGCAAATTAATTAGGCAATAAAGTGTAATTGAGGCAGCACATTAACCAAAAAAAATGAGACTGAAATATCTAGAAAACCCAACAAGGAAAAAAAGTACAGGGAATTTTGCATTCCGATAAGCCCACAAGGCCAAGCCACAAAGCCCAGGCTAAGCCCAAAGCCAAGGCCATCCGATGAACGAATTTCGTGTATAGATAGAAGGAAATAAACTTTCCATTTCTAGTAAAATCTGTGCGGTATTTTATAAAGTATTTTATAGGAATTTTTACATAGTTAATATCAGCTTAATTGTTGTATTTATTTTTAATTAATCTACATGGGAAAAGTTAGAGAGAAAAATACAGAGAAGTATCTGAACTTGCAACGAAAATGTTTCGTTAAAAAAATACATTTATCTGATAGATACATTTCTGTTTAAATTTGAAAACTAAATGTTTGAACCGCTCTTTAAACTCTTCACTAATTTAAATTTCATTTTGAATCTTTACAGGCTTAGCCCAAGTGACTTACCAGATCATTGGGCCTCAGGGACATCAAATCCAGCAACCTCAACCAGCAGCACTGGTGGTAGCGGCAGCAACATCAGCCATTTCAGCAGCAACAACAGCAGCGGTAGCAGCAGCAGTAGCAGCAGCACCAGCGGGGGCAGCAGCAGTAGTGGCAACAGCAAATACAACAACAGCGGCAACATATCGGTCTGCAATCTGCCGCGTTCATCGCCGGCCGCTGCCACAGCAGCCGTTACTTTGTCATCGGCCGCCGGCGGCGTTGGCAGCCACTTGCTGAGCGGCGGACTGCATCACGGACTGGCGCCCGGCACGCATCCGTTGCAGCGCGCGACGGCAGCGAGCGGAGGCGGCGGGGCTGGTGCTGGGGGCGTGGCAGGCGCCTCAACAGCAGCGGCACTTACGGCCCTCCAGCAGCAGCAGCAGCAGCAACAACTGGCCTACCAGGAACACCAACACCAGCAGCAGCAGCAGCAGCAACTGGGCAACCTCGGGTCGCTGCAACAACACCATTCGATTCACAACAAGGCAGCGGCCGCTGCCGCACAAACTGTGAACATTGCAGCCGCGCTGCAGCGATCGGCCATTATGAATGCGGTGGCATCGCCGATCTCAGCCAACTCTGCCAACTCAGCGACGTCTGGCCGGAAGATACGCCGCAAGACGGATTCAAAGGTCAATCTGGTGAGTTTCGAACTGAAAAGTTTCATATCAAATCCAATTATTGGGGAAGAAAAAAAAACTTGATGAAATATATCGAACAAATTATCAATTAATTCGATAATGATTCAATACTATTGAATTGCCAATCGAGATATGAAGGATACAAGAGTACCTCAGAAATGTTTATTATGTCTCAAAAATGGTCGAAAATTTATTGTAAATTGGTTTCATTTTAAATAATTTATTTTTAAATATTTTTTTGCATTGGTAACCTAAAAATATCATCAGTATTTACATTAGATTTTGATACATTAGTGATAGTTACTACTTCTACTAATTTCCTAGAACATTTTAAAATAAATTGTATCTAATTTAAGAAAACATTCCACTTAATCGTTAATAATAATCATAACCAATTTTATAGCTTCTTTATGTATTACAACAATAATTTAGCATTGATTAAGTAAGCAAACTAGCAAAATTATATTATCACCATTTCCATAACGATAAAACAAGCCAAGATATGCAAATTGTACATTAGGCATGCTGAAACACAACCTTAATCAAAGCCAAATTGAGAGCTTATACATATATCATATCATATTAAAACCAATTTATAAATAGCGAATAAAATGCTGATAATTTTAATTATTGCAGCCTCAATCACAAATCAACAAATGCAACAATGAGAAGCGACGTCGCGAGGCGGAGAATGGCTACATCGAGCAGTTGTCGGAGATATTGACGCTGAACAAGCGCGGGGATATGACCTCAACGAAACCGGACAAGGCGGCTATACTAAACCAAGTGGTTCGAACGGTAAGGAATCTCTCATATATATTATAGATCTAGTTGTTGCCACCCACAAAAGCTTAATTACCACCAAAAAGACCAGACCCCAATGCATAAACTCATCAAACGAAACTTATACTAATAATAAATCCGAAAAGCAATACAAGTTGTTAGTACACCCTGGGAATGACTGAACTGATGAACTTGGCCAGTCGGTTCCACTGGGCTGTCCGGAATACCAAATGATCAATTACAAAATAAAAGCACAAGCCAGCGAAATTCCCCAATGTAATTTTCATGCAGTTCCCCGCGTTTTACGTTGGTTTTCTTATTTTTCCTATTTTTTGTTACCACACTGAAAATAAAATTTAAAATGTTAGTACAAAATAGTTATTTAAAATAATGAAATTTATTTATTTATAAAAAATGACTAAATTTTAAAAATGGCATTAGAATTAGATGAATTAGTATTAAAATTTAAAATTATAATTCAAAATAATTTTCTAGTTATTTTGTAATAACAATGCCCAGCAGTAAAAATGTAATATAAATAAATAAAGACAATAGTATCCGTAAAATTTCTCTCAGTGCTAGATAAAGCCAAAAACACGTTCCAATTAAAAAGCAATTAAAAGCTCAGCCAGAAAAGAGCTTAAAAGAATTCGCGAAGGGGGAGGCCAACCAAGAGGTAGGTGTGCAGGAACCAAAGAGAAGAAGAGTTGCTGGCTGACGTAATTTGGCCCCCGCCGCTCAGCACAATTTAATTAATATTTTTATTTAATTTACATAAATTTATTTATGTTTCAATAGCCCCTTCGACCCGACGCGACCTGGCCAGCGGCTTTATGTTGTTTTAGGCGGCTTTATAATTATTATTGTTGTTATTGCCGTATTTCTTTTATTGGTTTCAGGTAGCCTAAGCACTTTATTATGCAAATTATTTTCGAGCCAAGCGCCACGCTTTGCCGAACATCATTCCAACAGCCGACAACGATAACCAAAAACCCCAAAAAGCCAAACACGAAAAAAGACAAATACCAACAAATGGCTTTTTAAATGAAATGCGGCGCACAGCCAACGCCGAAACACACAACAAAATACATAATTTTATTTTGTAATCCAAGCGGGGGCTAAAATGAAACAAGCCATCAGCCGGGCGGGTGTGGGCAATAAAATGCAATTAAAGGCTACAAGTAACCCTCACATGAGTTCCGCACATAATAAACAAATTGAATTAAATGCTTTTCGTGTCGTGTTAGTTTTTCCCTAATGAGAAAAGCCAACGCAAGGATCGAACGCAGCTCATTTCGCGCCCTAATCCAATTGATGCTGACCCCCATGAAAATGTTATTATTCACTAAGCAAAACACAATTCAATTAGTTTGTTGACACAAATGAAAAAAAAAGAGTAGAAAAATATAAAAAGAAAAAAAAGTATAAATTCCAACGGAAAGGCCCCGGCGAGATTCGAACTCACGATCTCCTGTTTACTAGACAGGCGCTTTAACCAACTAAGCCACGGCGCCAGTTGTCATCGCTGCCTCCGTTTGTTCTACTTCTACCTCTGCTTCTCCGGCACCTTCACACCTCACGGCATTATCGCTGAATGATTGGTGATTGGCGAGGTGTACGGGTCTATTTTCGGAAGCGTCTTGGTTGGAAAAGCTAGAAATAGTTTGTATAAATTGGTCAGCGAACGACATTAACACAGAGAAAGTTAAGTCTAGGGTTAGAAATAAAAAATTGGTTTACTTAATTGGAAGTAGAAGCACTTATATTATATATAGAACTTTATTAGGAGGAGCAAAATTTATTACTTCAAATTAAAGTCCATCAACATTTTTTTAATCAAGGGAAATGTATATTAATAAGACAATTTATCAGATACATTTAAATGGTATTTCTGGTATCATTTTTACAATTTTTTTAATATTGTATTAACATATTCAGCACTATTTATCACCTAATTATGTACATAGAGTCCATGACAAATTGAGACATTTAAATAATATCCCATTTCCGGGTAATTTAAACAGAAAAGGAAAAAAGGAAATTTATTGCGACACAATTATTTTAAAATTGCCTCTTTTATCCCTCGACCCCCTTAATATTATAATCATCATGAGGTCACTGGTATGGACAAACCCCTTTTTTGTCTGGGCAACAGCTGCTGCTCTTTATCTTTCCTGGGCTTTACCTGATGGTATCACTTTTTGGATGAATCTGTGGGCCAAAGCCCGCCAAAAATTGAAAAGATAGAGATACATTCGCAGCGAGCGAGCAAGGGAACAAAAAGGGGAGGCGGCGAGATAAAGACAGACACGTTTTTGGCATTTTCGCCGTTGCACGCGCTGCGATCTTTTGTGGTTGTTGTAGCGGCTACCGTTGCTCTCATTGTTGTTGCTCTGTTTACTTTATCATTTGACTGATATTTTTCGGAGTACCTTCACCCCAAAATATGTGCTCGGGAGCAACTTTTCCTGGTCACACACATACGCATACACTTGCGAAAAACAAGCTTCCTTCCAAAAATCTTACAAAAGCTCTCTCCCTCTGGGCTCCGGTTCTCTTTTTAGGAGATCAACGAACTGCTTTGAAACGCTTTTGGACGATGACGTCGCAGCTCTTTGCAATTTCACATAGTTGTGATTGCGTTTCATTCTATATTGTTCTTTATTGTTGTTGCTCCTGCGTCTCCCCCGCACAAGCTCACACACAGATACTGCATACAAGAAGCACAATGTGATAACACACACACACACACATACCCGTCCGTATTCTCTCACCTTACAAGCCGGTAAACAAAAACTGGAGGCGACAAGGCGCAGGGAGAAAGTGTGAGAGCAAAGCTTCTTTGGCTTTTTGGGAGAGAACGAAGCTCCGCCATTTTTGTTGCTGCTCTCTGTTGTTGTGCGTTTTTTAAACCCAATTGCATTCAAAAAATGTGTGCTTAGTATTTCGGCAACTTTGTGACTGTGCGAACGTTCTGTGTTTTCGGCCTTTTCTGTGATTTTTTCCGTGAGTAATTCCTGCTTTTGGCCCCAAATTGAGTCACATTACAGACTTGGCTCTAACTGATAAGCCGCAGAAAGCTGTAAGCAGAGAGAACGAAAGTCAGCAGAGAATAAGAAGGAGCAACGGCAAACCAAAACAAAGTGAAATGCCATTGACATTTGTCCACGCGAAGTTGAAGTTGACTGACCTTGAATTCCCATGCGAGAGAGAGAGAGTGCAGTGGCAGCGAGAGGCATAGAGAGAGTGGGAGTGGGCGGCAAAGGTGTGCAGTGTGTGTGTGTGTGTGGAAAGCCAAAGGAAAAGGAAACCCAATAATAACAATAATATTTGAATATGGCCAGTGCTTTTCGCGTGTGTGCTGGTTTTATTTTCCTCTTTTTTCGCGAATGTCAATGACTTTAATTCAAACGCGCGCGTAAACTTTTGCGTGGCGGAGTGAAAAGAACACAGCCATAGAAGCCTCCCCACACACACGTCTCACGCGAGTGATCAAATTGCGATTTAATGCAGGGGCGTACGCCCTATTTCATCACAGGGGGGTTTACATATGTTATCAAGTATGAAAAGCGTGCCATTGTATTGTGAAAATATAATTAATGTTGTTCCAAAATATAGTTAAAGGATCCGGAAATCATCGTGAATAATGTGTTTTCTAAGAAATAACCGTTATCTGAAAGCTCACAAAGAAAAACAACTTGGAATTTATAAGAGAAATGTCACAAAACAATAACAAGTTTGTTTTAAATCAAATATCATTCGGCTGTGAAAAATTCTTTATAACTAACTTGTATCTTTGTATCTTTATTTTATTTGGAGATAAAAAATTCAATTAATACATACATTTAATACAAGGAATCTCTCAAAACAAAAGTGGCTTTAAAAATGGAATCCCTAGACATACGACACTGTCGTATTTGCACTTCCATTGTGTCAAAACAATATACATACATACATATGCAGCTCATTCCAGAGATACATATTCATTCCAGTGTTCTTCTTATTTTTCCGACTTATTTACGAGTACTACTCCCCCGTACAAAGTGTGCCGATCTTCGTGCTATAATAATTATTATGACTGCCGCCGCAGTGTGTCATAATATGCATGAGTTTCGCACGGAAAGCTTCCGCATCATTGCCGAATAAATAATACTGCAGCTTTAAATGCCGCCGATAAACTGGGCGCGATATGAATGAAGTTTTATATATTCCGTTGTTAAGATTTCAGATGCGAGATGAGTCTCTATAAGGATTGTCACAAAGATGAATTTAAGATCAAGTCAGGAGTGTTTTGTGCATGGGAGGTGTCATAAGTCGAGTATTATTGTTGCAATTAAAAGGAAAAGCGGGAGATCATAATAGATATATCTTATTGTGAATAACCATTGAATCGGTTAGGTATAGTCTAAGATGGATACATTTTAGAGTAAATAACTGTTAACAGGATTTTCGTACCATAAACATTATATTGCATACTTTAGGACGTATTTTTCCTGGATTTCAAACAATTTCAGTTTCGTTCCTTGATTTAACCCTAAAATAATTTCCATAACTAATTCCTTTCATTTCCTATTCCTTTCAGTATCGTGAGATTTGTGACAAGGGCCAAAACCGTGATATATCCTCAACGTCGACGAACAATAACAACTCCACGACAACGACCAACAACAACAATACGAATAACAGCAACAATAACAATAATAATAACAATAGCAACAACAGCAACAGTAACAACAAACCGCAAGCAACCTCAACACGCTGCAGCCGCTGTGCCACGGACAACTGCTCGATCCATCCGGTGCAGCAGGGCGAGGTATCGTCCACTGAACCACCTCTTCCGGAGCCATCGCTGTTGCTTGGCCAGGTGCCCGAGATATCGGCATACTTCGAGGCACTCGAGCATTACATCAGCGGCGTCGGCTGGGTGCTGCTCCAGGTGAACGCCAACGGCATCATTGAGTCCTGCACGCAGAATATCCGCGAGCTGATCGGCTATGAGAAGCAAGAGCTGTACCACCAGCCGCTCTACATGTACCTCTATAAGGGGGATCACGCCAAGCTAGAGCCGATCATCAACAACATGTACAGCAATCCCAATGGCGGCAGCAGTAGCTCCTCCTCGGGCAACTCTGCAGCAGGTGGCAGTGGCGTGGGCGGACCAGGTCCGAGTGTCAACGTTTGGGGCGATCTCGATGAGCTGAACAATGGCAATGCGTCGCAACAGTCGGCGGGCTCCAATTCAAATTCCGGCGGAGGAGGAGGAGCTGGTGGCGCTGCGGTGGGTAAGTCAAAGCGCAGCATCTCCACCAAGGTGCGCATGCTAGTCAAGGACACGCGCACGGCCACCCAAACGTCGTCGTCGTCGAACTGCGAGGATCAGAAGCCGCTGCGGCAGTCCGGACAGCAGGACAAGTACGAAGAGGTGGTCCTTATAGCGGCCCCTGTCAAGGGTGAGTAGGAAAACCACTCAATATCTCTTTACATACTAATCTCTCCCATCAATTGCAGATGATGCGGACGCCAGCAGCTCTGTGCTGTGCCTGATCACCCGCCCGGAGGACGAGTCGCCGCTGGAGATCAACATTCAGCAGCATGTCCAGCAGCAGCCCATCGAGCAGATGACCTTCAAGCTGGACATTCACGGCAAAATACTCGACCTCGATCACACGGCGCTGCGGGAGCCCTTCAAGCAGCACCTGCAGACGTGGGTGGGGCGACTCTGGCAGGATCTGTGTCACCCGCACGACCTCTCCACGCTCAAGTCGCATCTGCGTGACATCCAGGACTCGGCCAGTGCCCATTCGCCGGGCGCGGGAGCTGGCTCCCATATGGTTTCGCGTCCATTTCGGCTGCGATTGGGAGCGCCTGACGTCTACGTCCATGTGAAGGCCAGTTCAAGACTGTTCCTCAACCAGACGCCCGGCGAGGGTGACTTCATAATGTCCGTTCAGACGCTGCTTAACTCGGAGAACGACATGAACAGCAACAATACGGGGACGGGCAGCGGTAACGGCGGCGGACTGGGTTTGGGCCAGCTTTGCGCCATGTCGCCGGGTCCCTCGCTGGCCAGCTCGCTGCTCAGCAACCTGTCGATGGACGGCCTCCATGGAGTGACGGGCCCCGGGTCGGGGGGCTCCTCGTCTTCGCCGGCGGCGGTCACTGGCATGCTGCCCACCCATCTGCTGGGCGGACTGGTGGGCGGCGGACAGCAAGGCGGCGGCGGTAACAGCACACAGACCACGAGCGTAGGCGGTCCGTTGATGAGCAGCGCGATCATCAACGGCAGTGGTCTTCAGCAGCAGCAGCAGCAGCAACAGCAGCAGCAGCGATCCGGAGCCAGTTCGTCGGCCAGTGCGCTGGTAAACGCATTCACCGCCTCGCCGGCACCCGGAGAGCACAGCTTCTATGGCAGCGACACCTTCGAATTCGACATTGCAGAACATTCCTCTTTCGGCATAGATCCCAGCGGCGGGGTGGGAGCCTGGACAGATTCGCGGCCAAATTCGCGGGCCTCGGTGGCCACTCCAGTTAGCACGCCGCGTCCTCCCTCTGGGCACGGCTTTAGTCCGGCTGTGTGCGCCTCGCCAGCCACGCCCTATCAGCTCTCCTCGCACTCCGCCGCCAGCCTGCCGTCGCCGCAGTCGAATGCCAGCGCCGGCGGGAACTATGGTTTCAACTTCCATTCCTTCGAGGCGGTCGATGTGAAGCCCGAGAAGGATGTCCAGCAGCAGCAGGGCGGCAGCAACAACAGCAGCGGGAGCAGCAGCAACAATGCTTTAATAGGCGGTGGCCTGCCCAATGGAGTAGGAGGATTGCTCCTCTCCCAGCAGCAGCAGCAGCAGCAGACGCCGCCCCAGCAGCAGCAACAACAGGAGTCCTCAGAACGACTGCGTCACCTGCTGACCAAGTCGCAGAGCATGGCAGGCAGTCTTGGAGGTGGTCTCGGCGATGAAGAGAAGGTAAGTTGAAGCTCAGAGTCTATATTTCGATTTCTAAAACGACTTCACTCTCAGTACTTGAAGCCGGAGGGCAGTGACGAGGAGAAGCTCGGCGGCGGCAGCTTTAAGATGGGCGGCCAGCCTGGAGGCCTGGGAATGTTTGGACCCATGGGCCCGATGGGTCGTGGAGGCCCCAACTCCAGTTCCATGCTGCACAAGGCCGGCAATTCGCAGAATCCCATGTTGCTCAAGGTGAGTAAGATAATCCTTTCAGCTAGAAAGCCCTTGCTCACTGAGCTTTCTCTCTCTCTCTCCATTGACAGCTGCTCAACGAGAAGACCGAGGACGACGACGGCAACGGTGGCGGTGGCTCTGGCTCTATGAACAACTCCCGCCAGAGCGAGCTGATGCGACAGCTGAAGAATCCCGACATGCATCGGGGCAATGCCGGCGGCAACATGAGCACCGAGGACCTCAAGGCCATGCTCAAGATCCAGAGCGATCCGTCGCAGAGTCGCAAGCGTTCGTTCAACGAGCCGGACGACGATCCTTCCGCCAAGCGTTCAGAGGACAAGCCCAGCAAGCTGTGCACGCAGAACAAGATGCTGGCCCAGCTGCTGCAGAATCCGCCAAAGACACCCAAAGCACCCAATCCGGAGCAGCCGTTGCAGGTGAAGACGCTGCCGGATATCACCAGCTCCAGCAACACTCTGGCCGCTCCTGGCAACCTCATAAGCGCCGGAAGCACCGGACCCAAGGCGGCGGCCAATCGCAACCGCAAGCAGCAGCAGCAACAGCAACAACAGCAGCAGCAGCAGCAACAGCAGGCCGCCAGCAATCCTTCCCAGCAGCCAAACGATGTCTACCTCAGCCAGCAGCAGCAGCAGCAGCTCCAGCCGCCGCAACTGCCCTTCCAACAACAGCAACTGGCGACCACAGCAACTACCTCAATTACCACAGCGGCCTCCACTTCGGCTGCGGCGGCTGCAGCTGCGGCAGCGGCAGCGGCTGCCCTCATGGGCGACGGCGACTCGGAGTTGTCCAAGCTGCTGGACAGCGTCATGGAGTACTATCCCGATGACACGCCCATCGTGACCAGCGCCCCCTCGGAGGCCTCGGCCATTAGCGATATCCAAAAATCGCTGATGCTAGATGTCGAGTCGGCCGCTTTTGGCAACGATCTGAGCCAGCAACTGATGATGAGCCAGCAGCAGCAGCACCAGCACCAGCAACACCAGCAGCAACAGTTCTTGGCCCTGCAGCAGCGCCAGCAGCAGCATCTCCAACAGCAGCCACCCGCCTATCCGGGCATGCTTAGTCTGCAGCAGCAGCAGCAGCAGCAACAGCAGAACCAGCACATGATGCAGAGACTGGAGGCCATACGGAATCAGAACAACCAGGGATTCCAGCGACCGCCACCGATGTATCCAGCACGCGGACGGGGACCCATGAATGCGGTGGCCACTCCCGGGGGAGTGGTATTGCCGGCCCAGCAGCAGATTCGCAACATGCGCCAGCAGCAGCAGCTGGCGGCAGCCCAGCAAAAAGAGCGACTGCTGCAGCAGCAGCAGAAGCAGCAGCTGCTCGTCCCGGAGAATGCCAGTAAGTATTGGGAAGAAGCTTTCAAAGGAGACCACCTAACCCACAAACTCATCTCTTCATCCTTGTAGCTGGCATGAATGCGGGCCTGAACAACATTGGCTCGCTGCTCAATACCACGGTGGCTCCCAATGTGTCCCTATCTCGCACCAACCTGCCCTCGGACGCCCAGCTCAGCCCGAACTTTGCTCAGACGCTGATGCAGCAGCAACTCAGTCCGGGTCGCAGCACGCCCTACAGTCCTCAGCCCAACCAAGGTGAGCTTTTGGGTTGTAGTTCCTAAGGCTTTAAATACTCACTTTCTGTATTTCCCTCCGCAGGCTATGCCCCACAGTTTTCGCAGCCTGGACAGCGCTTGTCTCCGCAGCAGCAGCAGCAGCTCAATCAGCAGCAACAGCAGCAGCAGAACAATGCCCAGCAGCAGCAACTCGCCTACCAGCAACAGCAGCAGCAGCAACAGGTGGGCGATGGTGTACGTTCCAACACGCCTTTCGGCTCCAACTCGGGAATGCAGTCGCCGGGCATGCAGAACAGTCCTCAGCAATGGGGAGCTGGCGGTGGCGGCGGTGGCGGAGGAGGAGGAGGGGGACCTGGTGGCAGTGCTGGAAGGACACTGCAGCAGCACAATCCCATGCTCATTGCACAGTTGCAGGTAAGTGTCTGAGATCTGGGATCTGAGATCCCCTCAAAAGTCCAGCCAATTAACGCCTTTCCATGGCCGCGCTGCAGGGCGTGAGTCCGTACAATGCGCGTCAATACCAACAGAACCAGAGACGCGGCCTGAATTCCCCAGGAGCCGTTGGACCCGTTGGCGGCAATCCGGCGGCAGCAGCAGCGGCAGCCCTCCAGCGCCAGAACTCGTTCCAGGGGCAAGGCGGTGGCGGGGCCACAACGCCGGATGGCTTTGGAGGTCCTCAGTCCCCTTACGGCGGCAACAACGTCAATGTGTTCCAGCTGCAGCGACTGCAACGACAGGGCAGCGTGCCGCAGGCAACGCAACATCTGCCAGGTGAGGATCCACAGCATAGCTGGAAGGAGTTCTTCTTAGCCTAAGAGAGGAGTAGAGTGTCTAGGAGTTGAGTTTAATAATGTCCTTTAGGAGGGAGCTCATCTAGGGATGGGAATCTCATGGGATTCAACACAAGCGCCCCTTAATCCACATACTAAACATTAAAAAACATAAGAGACAGCTTAACACACACACACACACACACACACACCACAAACACACACACAAACAGTTGATGATCTGAACCTAGTTTTAATCAAAAGCCAACAAAACAACCGCTTAACCAAAACAGGCTCGCCACGCTTTGGCTCCTCGCCGGGCATCAGCAGCAGCAGCAACAACCACACCGATAGCTCAGCCGCCGCCGGCAATCAGCAGCAGCAACAACAGCATCAGCAGCAGCAGCATCAGCAGCAACAGCAGCTGATGAACGGCCTGAGCATGTCGCCGCATCCGCATCCGCACCCGGCCATGATGGGCGTGGGCGGCATGGGCAGTGGCGGCGGCAATGGCATCATTGGTCTCGGCGGCGGGGGCGGTGGCAACTACGGCGGTGGCTATGGTCAGTCCCAGCCGCAGCAGCAGCAGCAGCAGGCGAATGATTTCTATGGTCGGGTGCAGACCGGTAAGCCCCTGCGCTCTTCTCTCTCTTTCGCATCTCCACCCGAAAAACTCATCCAAACTACTCACGTCAAGATCGCTGTATAAATATCACCCTGCCTTGAAATCTGTGTATATATTTAAATGGCAACGCATCGTAAAGCAAACTCCAAGCTGTTGGGCGCATTATTCTCTGTACCATAATTCACAAAGAACAAGAAAGGAAGCTAACTTCGGCACGCCGAAGTTTTTATACCCTTGCAGTTGGCAATTGGATCATTAAGAATCGATCCATTCTGCTCAAATACATTGTAAATTGAAATCTGAAAAACACACATCTGATCTGTAGTCGTCCGATTTTCATAAAATTAAAACCGAAATTCTGAAAAAATAAAGAAAGGTCATATCTCAAAGTAGATGAGAGTGAGAGTATTCAAAAGACTATTGATATATTCTAGTAATACACTGCAAGGGTATAAAAATATCTACATTTAAGCTGGAAAACCCACCACACATCACCACATACATGTCAACGAATCTAACCCACACATAAGCCTATTGATATATCTGTATAACTGTACGATCATTGTATATAACCTGTATATGTATATTCCCGCCCCTCGTAAGGCCAGTCGGTTGAGCTGTACATACACATAAAAATAATACATAGTTGCTGGCGCGTTGCACCCCAAAAAAACATAACCCCGGGCACCCAATTAAGTCGTAAGAGGGGAAAAGCCAATAAAATTTTCAAAAGATTACCAAAAATATTCCAAAAAATATATTTAATAAATAAAAAAGTAGCGAAAATTAAGAACTAGAACATTTCGATTTGTTTTATTAAATATTGGTTATGTCTGTAGGACAAATTTTATGTTTATTGATATTATATGTATGTATAACCCCCCTCACCCGATCCTGGATTTTCTGTGTGCCAACTCTATGTTCCATGTATCGTATTCTGTTGTGTATGTTTTGTTTTTATGTCTAGATCTTTGAGCCGAAAATGTGACTAAAACTTAGCCCTAAGTCGTGTCCTCTGTCTGTGGACTGTGCATGGTCGCCAATAACCGTTTTTTCCCCACTCTTTCAGCTGGCAATGGCGGTGCCGGAGTGGCCGGTGGCAGTGCCAATTCTGAGTTCGTCAAGCAGGAGCTGCGTGCAGTGGTCAGTGTGCGGGCCCAGCAGGCGGCTGCGGCGGCCACGGGCGGAGCCGGCGTTGGAGGCGGAGTGGTGCAGCGAGGACAGACGCCGCAGAGTCCGCTGCAGCAGGGACCGGGGATCGGCGGTGGCGGCGGAGTGGTTGGGGGTGTGGCCAACAGTACAAACGCCATGGGCAATCTCACGCCCACGGGCAGCGGCAATGTCAGCAACAACTCCATGCTCAACACGCCGCCAGATCCAACGATGGGCTTCAGCTTCGAGACGCGTAAGTAACTTGAAATTTTCAAGTTATTGTTATTAAACTTATTTAGGTAAAACTGTAAATAATTCCATTTCCCCCCCCACAGCTGACTTCTTCACCAGCAGTGCTACAAGGTGACCCTAAGGTGCCTAATGCCAGAGACCCCCGAGGAGCAGCAGGAACCACCCACGCATTTATGGCTCCAAGCAACGCGCGACACACACAATAGAAAATCAAAGGATATAAAGTGAGGGAGGCGACGCGATGTAAATGTAATTTAAAATATTAGCAGCACTATTTAAAAAATATATATACCTAAATATATTTATTTTATAATACTAGCAAATATTAATTCTAAAGCAAAATGGGAACCTCGTCTAAAAGAAATTGCATAAAAATTATATAAATACCAGACACACACACACACGCTATAGTTAAATATTTTCAAAAATCTGAAAACGAAAAAAAAATTCAGATAAAAAATGCATATTTATTACGTTTAAAGATAAAGATAATGTAACGCTAAGAGCTATATATACAAAACAAGAAAAAATGGAAAACGTAATTAGTTATGCGATAAGTGCTGGCCGTTTCGGGGTGTTGTTAAATTGATATATGTACATTTAAAAAATATATATATGTAACATTACTATTGTAAAGCATATGGGAGAGGCAGCAGAGTTGGCTATTCTCTAGCGATAACATAATGTATACCATATTCGACGGGGAGGAGGAGAAACCATGTAAAACACAAACAGCAGCAGCAGCGTATGGCAAATGTATATTTAAAATTAGTGTTGAATTTGTTTTCAGTGTGATAATTTGTTAAATTTTATATACTAAATGTTGCTTATTGGTTGCTTTGCTATATGTTCTTGCATCTTTTGAACATATTTATATGCATTCTGAAAATATTTTGTATTGTTTTTTATTTTCACTTACCGATTGGACACGAACATTTTTCTTTGACCAAGCTAAGTGCAGCAACAACAACAACAACCATAATCCCTATAACTGTACATATACTTTCACTATTAATTAATTTTGCTTCTTAAAATGTAATTCGTAATTTAGTTAATGCTCGTTTTTAAATAAATATTGTAATTACTTTTAAACACTTTTTTATATCAAAGCGAGAAAGCAAAGCGCGCAAAGCAAAGTCGGCGTTGCAATTTCATGTGAAGGCTATTTTACAGGTTTTGTTTAAAATAATTTGTAATTTGTAACCATTTTAATTATTAAAAAATAACTATTATACACTAAATATATATATAAACACACGCAAAACACTTTCTGGAAACGCAAAAAGCGTTTCTCACGTTTTCTATTGTGTAATTTTTTATTGATTTTTGATTTTGTTTAAATCTTTTAAGTCTATTAAGTTGGGTTCAATCGTTATAAATATTATTTTAAAGAAGAAACGATACAAATGCTATACAAATATTATTGATATAAATTTAGTTTATAATTTTATTAAATTACTGTTTAAAAACTGCAAAGCCCTAAATAAAAATTTACATACAATATATATTTAAAACTGTATTGTTTTTATTTACCTTATATTTTCTACTGTTTTTTTTTAATAGTTCTGAAAAACAACGACAAACCACACAAATAACGGGAATAAACGAAAATACCGAAAAAAGGCGATATTAAAACTTGGGAAAATAGAAATACCTCTCGTTAAGTTCAAAAAATGATATGATAAAAATACAAATTTATAAGAATATAATTAACCTAATAATCCCTAATTAAAAATAATAACAAAATAACAAAAATAATGCAAATGGTTCTAAATACTAAAAGAACTATGGAAGAAATTAATTTTTAGACGCTGCTAGCTAAATTACAATTGTCTCACATAAATAATTAGCTTAGGATTTAGTTTTTATCTTAAAAGGCTACATCTTACAACTTGAAATTTCAAAGTAATACTTCGTAAAAAACGATGTCCCCTTAGTTTTTATACTGACAAGACCTCAAACCAGGAAAGTATAAGTATGACAAATGAATATACACAAGTATACTGCATTTAGCGTTATATATACACCTTCATATAACATAGTTTTAATGCAAGTTATTCATATAATATATATATATTTATATGGGGTAAGGATATAGTAAATTTCACACACACAGCAACACAAAAAGTACATATAAAGTGCATTAATGAATTTAAGCATTTAATGAAATTAATTAATTTATAAGCATAACGAAATATAGCCGATTATTTCGAATATATATATATTTAAAAGTAAACAAGAATATTTACAAACGGTATAAACTTCATGGATGACTTAAGGAAATAGCTTAACAAACACACACACACACTTAATGCTAACAAACCCTAGCTCTATGCCACAGATATTTACGTAAATGAAAAGCGGACTTAATTTTGATAAGAACTACTTAAGATTCGGTAAGTTATTCTGTTAACACTACGCACTTTAGATATATGTAAATTCATGCATACACATCTCTGTACATACCCAGCATATAAGAACTAATTTATTAATTTATCAGCTCTGGCTAAGTGGAGGTAAATTGGTTTCTGCTGAAACAAGTAGGACGTTTTGTTTTCTGTGTATCTGTACAGTTTCACGGATGAATTCAGTTAATATATTATATTTGCAACCTAGTACCATAAAATTTGTACCAAATCACACTCTGACGATTATAATAATACCTATTGTAGCCGGAAAAATATGAAGACAAAACAAATATAATGCAACGCCCTGTACCCGTGCATAAAGCCTACAAAGATTTGTTAAACTTAATATTACAAACACAAAAAATACTATTTACTAAATACAACAAAATAAAACAAAACAAGATGCCCTGAACCGCAATGAGTAGTGCCCAAAAAAAAAAATACATAACAAATGAAATATATTAACTAGCATTTAAAAGTTATAACGAATTCTAAACAACAGCCTCAAAACAAATAGTTTTAAACGAAAGGGAATAGCGAAAAATAGCACAATTTTGTATAAAAACGAGTAGATATTTGTACGAAAGCAAAAAATAGAACCACAAAGCAGAACCGAGAGCAATATATATAGCATACAAATCTCACCCAGAATATGGAACACTTAACTCTGATTACTCAACATTTGTATTATTTCGTCTTCAGTCTGTATACAAAAATTGGTACAAGAAAGTCGGTTGGCTTGAAGAAGGAGGAAGGCATTGTTGATTGGCTGTGTTACGCAAAAAGAAAAAAAGAGGAAACAAATATTGGGAGTCCTGAAAAAGTGCGAAAAAAGGTGGGTCGAGGTCGAGTTGGGAGGGATAAGTGTAGTTAGAGATGCGTTCGGGGAACGCTGTTAGGAACCGAAACGGATGTTTAATTCTAAGGGCTGAGCATTAGGCTGGATTTTTTGAAGCAGGCAACTTCAGTTCAAATTGTCACATATGGATTTTATATGGTTTAGGCATCAAACTCTTATTTTATGCATATACAACCACTTGTATACATAACAAACATTTCGTGATTTGGAGTGAAGACTGTACTGAATTAAACTGAAAATGGTTTTAATCTTATTCTTAACTGTTTCGATTATTATTGCTGTTTTTTTTTTTTGGTTATTGGGATTCAGTTGAAATGTTTAATATAGGAAATAACCACACCTATCCGAACACAAACCATAAGCCCCAAATCTATGATCCTAATGAATGTTACAAATCTGAGTGTTATGTTGTTGTCACCTGTCACTGTTCGTTCACTGTCACTGTCACTGTTTACGTGTATCTGTATCAATTGATTGTCCCTGTCTTTCACATATGTTGTCTTTGTCTCTACGTATTATGTAAATCAGTAAAAAACGAATGTATATTTTAAGTCTCCATATATGATGTACCTTTTTGCTATATATTGTATTTTTATGTAGCTATAACTGTCACTATATATACGATATTACACGATCCCTCGACTCTTATACATACACCTTTGCATTTCACATTTAATAGGAAACCAAGAAAAACGGAAAGAAACAATTAGTAAGAGCTAAATTTTCACACTAAAACACATTCAAGATTAATGATAATTTATAAATTAAACTCTGTATATGTGTAAATGTAACGTTTGTCTAAGGATTCACATAAACGAAATGAAGCGATGGGAAGTTTCAATTGAATTTACATTTGAAGGAAAACACAAAATACTTTAGTTTAACTAAGTACTAAACAAGAATAATTGAGAATTTTCACACATACACACACACTTGCCACACAATAGCAAAATGTTAAAACAATTAAATTTAATATGAATCGAGACGAAATTCTGTACGCTATTGTTTGTACTTAAAAGTCGACATATTATATATATATATATAAAGGTAATTAAATTTATTAATTAATTATACAAGAAAATGCAAGCGTACTGCAGCATACAGAAACAAGAACAACAGACACGTTCACTTAATGTTTAACAACTGAACAAAAAAATTGAAAATGAGAAAATGAAAAAGACTAAATAAAATATTAACGAAATAAGCGTAATAATATTATCATAGCTTTGTTTCATTCTCAGCTCAAAAGAAGGGGGGTCCTGTCGAAGAAAAAATATCTCTTACGCTCTCTTTTACATGCTTTACCTGCTATGTACAAGCAAAGGAACATCAACTGCACTCTGCTATCTTTAAACTAGGATCTAGGCTACAGAACTAATTAACACAAATATGCAAGACTCTCCACCTGATAAATTCGTGCTTTACTCTATAATCTTTTGTTTTTATAGCTAATATAAATGTACATATATACAATCTAGTTATTAATTTCTGGGTTCGACGTTACGGTTGATCTCAATTCTTGGAACTCTGGTATATTATTTTTCTTAATTGCTATCAGCAGCATCTATGGTCACCGATCTTTATTTCCAAGAACATTATTATAATTTTACCTACGTGTTATTTTATTTCCATGATTTTGTGTAGCCCAGCTCTCTCTTTCAAATGAAATATAAGAATATAACTATAACTACAAAGGGAAATAAGAATACGTTTATTTTTATTGAGCTCAAGGAAGTTACAAGGCAAATATACAGACTAATTAGCGCTTCTGATTGTCTTCATGTCTACCTTTGGGGGATTCTGCTGTGGTGTTGCAGGCCAGAACCTAGTTTGAGTGGATGAGTCATTTGAGCTGTCATACTCCCCAGCATCATCGTCCTCATCATCATCATTAAATTCAACATTAGCATTGGAGTGGGCTTTGATCTGTTCGTCAACCCAAGTGCGTAACTTTGCCACATCCGTGTAAACTGCCGGAGTGTTCGCCCTACCGCAGCCCATGCCCCAGTTCACAATGCCAGCCTGCTCAAAGCGGCTGGGATCGCTTCGGAGTGGACAGGCAAGCGGTGAGCCACCGTCACCTTTGCACGAGTCTTTGCCCAACTCGCCGCCAGCACACAGCAGGCTGTCGTGGAGCTGGAAATTTGTCCTTCGTAGGGGCTTCAGGAGTGCCTCGCAGGTGCGGGAGTCAACAATTGGTATTTTCACCTTCTTCATGATGCTCATGTAGGAGTTTTGTTCGATGGCATCCTTGCCCCAGCCACTGACGATACACCATTGTCTGTCAAAGTTTTGGTTTCTCGCCGGCAGGCAAATGAGGCCAATGTGGCGCGATGCCTCGAGCGGTTTCTCGAGGAATAACAGGGCAAGATTATTGGCCCCAGTTCTCCTGTCGAACGAGGGATGGCGCACGATCATTCGGACTCCTACGTCCACATGGGAGAACTTCTCAGTATCGGCCCCAAAGTCCCATTCGCCTGCCCGCACCACGAGGTCACCGCTGTCAAAGTCGCTAGTAATATGATTAGCAGTGAGCACCACATCAAAGGCGACCAAGGAGCCACCGCCCAAGTACGAATTGTTCATGTGCAGCACGGCTGTCATCCAGGGTAACTCGTTCTCCTGAGCGAAGCCATCAGCCGACTGAATGCTGAAGGTCAGACCCTTGGAGTTCACTTGGCCGCATTCGGTTTTCTTTGGTGGGTTCATCCAAGAGTTATCCTCATTTTCCTGCAACTACAATTGCACATTGGCACTCTTTAGATTCTTTTGAGATGTTATTTAATGATATGAAAATTACTATTTTATTGGGAGGACAGCACGCTTCCGTGGAGGCGCATCCCTCTTTCTTTTCAAAATCCAGGACAGGTCCTTCGTCTTTGAAGCCAATGTTGCACAGATGATGCGGTACACACTGGCATTGGCGATTTCTGCCGCACAATTTGGTAGCCTGGACCCCAAGGAGAGCCAGGCACAGGATCGAAACAATTGCCGTCAGTCGAAGCATGCTTCTCACAGTCAAAAAGACAACTGAAGTCTGCGTTATATAGCATTTTATACATATACCCATCTCAGAGTGATCTTGTAGCTCAATAAAATGCGATAAGAAAAGTTTTTTTTGCTGTTGCCGAATTCCGTGGAATTCAAATCTGAACTAAGGCTATCAGGAGTGAGAGGTGTTTGCCATGTGATTAAAGACACGGGAATCTAAATATATAATATACAGATTGTTTAATTAGTACAACAGAATAAGAAAGGAAAAAAAGATCGCAGTTTGTAATTGGATCAGGATCTTAATCACTATTGAAACTTTACTTCCAAAATCATAAGAAGATATGGTGGTTCAGGTCCGTTTCGAAGTATATTGATCAATGCCGCATCCTTCACAGGATGAAGGTGATTTATTTGTATTTACTTCTTTAAGATACAGGGTTGCACGCTACCTCTCTCATTGGACTAATAGTAATTTGCTTGCTTCACCAAAGTACCAATTTCGACATTAGAGCAAAGAATTAGAATTAGAAGAAAGAAAGAAGGATTGGCCGCAGATTTTTATAAATTAATAAAATCTCGATTCAGTTTAGACTATAAAGATAGGTACAGTGTTACAAACCACTTTTCAGAGTCATTGAAATGGCAACAAAAGAGACCAAAGCAAACATCAAGAGAAGCAGCTTCATCATCCTGCTGTAAAAATTATAGTTCTCAGAGCGACGACTTAAATTTAAATAAAACTAAAGCTGCATCAGCCAGAGCAATTTATACCATTGTGGAGCTTATTTGGCTTATCTTCCTATGAAAGTGCTAATCAATTGGTAGAGATAACGCTGAAAAATCAATCAAATCTACTTTACTTAAAGGTGCAAGTAATAGTAACAATTCGTACAAATGAATCTCAAAATTGTGCGAATACAAAATATTGTTTTATTTAAAATAACTTGGCTGTAAGAACAAGTTATAGTGGATTTTCTTATGAACCTTACATCTACAAAGGCTCGCTCTAAATTCTAGAACTCCGATCTCTGTCACATTAATGAAACATTGTATTTTAAACTTGTATTAAAAAATCTTATGGCATACAGAAAGTACATGGGAATATATGAATAAACGAAAATACACTTGAACTAAACGAGAAATATGCAAAACTGAACTTAAACGAAACATACTAAAATAATGTATATATATGATATAGAGTTATATCCTAGGAGTACGGATTTAAAATTGGCAACTATTTGAATCCCGCCTGGCTGGCCTTATTCACAATCATTTGCAAATTCTCGTGCAGCGTTTTTATTTGGTTATAGGTGTCCTCGTCCAGATTCTCCAACAGATTCAGCTCGACCTCGCCGGCATCCAGTTTCTTGGGCCTCAGGTTGAGCACTCCGTTCCGGATGGGTATGTTCACATTGGCGAACTTGTCTGGCATCCTAACAACCACAAAGAGTACGCAATTAATCTAGGTATCCAGGTGTACATGAGGCAATACTTACACTTGAGCCACCATGGGGCTACCGAACTTGGAGAGTGCCACCTCGCCGGGCTTTGGATAGCGTAGGAATGCCATTGGCGGAGTCGTAGGCGATCCCGCGCGCATTTGCTTCTGCGCGAGTGGTGTGCGATCGGCACTGAAGGCCTTTGTGCGCGAAGCCATCGGTGTACGCATTTTGCTGCGTGAATGACGAGTTCCTGTTGCCGCGCTGGAAATTGGCGGCGGCTTCGCCGAATGGAGGATATTGAGATCCCCACAAGCGGATTGACTACGGCGTGCACGGCGAGCCCTGGCCGAGTGCAGGGGTCCGGGCGTACGCATGGCCTTCGTTGAGCGCAGCAGCGAGCCGGTTAGGGGGGCCAGGCTACTGCCACCGCTAGCCCCGAGGCTGCTGTCCTCTGTAAGGTAGCCTAGATGTACAGTGACCGGCGCGGGATTTGTGGTAATGGTGGTGCAGTATGAAAAGTGCGATGTGTGTGTGTGCGGTGTTAGAAAGCAAAGTTGAGTTAGTCACGAAGCCGGACACCAGTTAAAAGTAAAATTAAAGGCATGGATGTGCCTTTGCTGGCCAAAGGTTAAGTTACCGCCCTTTTCCTCTTCCCCAGAGTGGTTAAAAAACAGAAATTCCAGAGCTGGCTTACTCAATCCTGTACCTACCTTCATCATAGCGACTTCCAACGGCGGTGGTGGCTACGGCGGCATGTCCATCGGTGGTATTGGAGCTCATAGACATGGAGGCAAGCAGCTGCGTCTGATCGCTGGCCTTGAAGTCACTGAAGTGGTCCAGCTCGGCAAACAGTTGCAGCATCTCGGGCACTTTCATGCCGCCCAGTTCCCGCTGCACCTGGCTGAGCAGCGTCTTCACCTGGCTGTCGACGGCGGCCAGGTACTTGGACTCCAGGGAGTCGATGCTGATCAGGCGCGAGTCCATTTTCAGTTCGTACAGACGCACCTTCTCCTCGCGGTTGGCCACATCGCGGTTGCGCTTCGAGTTCTTTGGTATCTTGGTGCGCGGCATCTTGGCGGCGGCGGTAACTATGAGTTTCTCGATTTAGGTCAGATATTTAAATGGATATTGCCTTGTTTTTGTGGTAGCGTCTGATTTTTGTTGCTTTTTTTCGAGTTTTCCGCTTAAATTTGAGCGTCATCTGTCGGTGTGACCAGAGGCTGGTATAGTTGATAAGACAAAGTTATCGATAGCAAGCGATGTTTCTGGGGGTGGCAGCACCACAGATTGTGATGAGCAGAAAACAGTCTGGCAAGGCCAATGTAACGCTTAAAATATTTTAAAATCTTTATATTTCTTGGATATAAGGAAACCCCTAACAATTTATATATATATAAATATCTAGGCACAGTTAAATGGATGATTTCTTAGTTTTTTATGAAGTATATAGCTTCCCTTATCACATGCCGAGCGGTATTAATAGTTTTAACAAAAATCGCGATATTTGCGTTTAAGGAAACCTTAGCCTACTTTTTTCGGGAGATCCGCACAGGCACTCCCTCCTTGGGCATCAGGGTTACTCCATTCGCACCGAACTCGATTTCGCGCTTCTCCTTGCGAATTTCCAGGTCGAAATTGGACAGAATCTTGGCTACAGCTATCTTCACATTCACCTTACCCATGCGCAGGCCTTGAAAATAGAAAGTACATGTTTATTTATATGTTTATATTCAAATTCCCGAACGGAACTCTTACCTATGCAGTGGCGAGGACCCTCCCCAAAGGGCATATACGCAGCCTGCCTAAAGTTCTTGTTCTCATCCAAATAGCGTTCGGGCTGATAAGTGAGTGGATTGGGGAAATACTCCGGGTCCCGGTGCATTCCAATCAGGGATATCACAATGGGTGTGCCCTTCTTGATCACCAGCTTGCTATCCGGCACTGGATAATCCTGCGTGCAGACTCGGTTCAGGATGGGCAGAGCAGGATATTTGCGAGCAGTTTCTGCAGAAATAAAGATGTAATTTTATTAAACTCCACTACGACGGCTGCCTTACCCATCACACAGGCTTCCAAGTACTTCATGTCCGAAATGGCATCGTAGGTCAGACCGCCGTGCTTCTCGATGGCTTGGCGCACATCCTCCTGCGCCTTGGCCATCACCTCCGGGTGTTGGGTGAGCTCGTAAAGAGTAAATGAAGTCGTGCTGGCCGTGGTTTCGAAACCAGCGGCATAGAAGAGGAACAGCTGTCCGGCAATAAGGTCCTTGGACATGGACTTTACGCCATTCTTTGAGCTTTCCGCTGTCCACACGGTATCATCAGTGCTGATCTTTCCCTGATTGCGCAGCTGCAGGAGGAGTTGCAGCAGATCCTTACGAACAATGTTGTTCTTCTCCCTGAGATCTACGGTGCGATTGGATAGTTCCCTCATCCTTTCAAATGCTTCCTGTTTCCATCCGATTTTCACAAAGAGCTTCTCCAAGCTGGTAACGAAATATATTTGCTTGAATACTTTTAATTTTTTGAGGACTTAAAATATAAAACTTACGCTGGATAAAGGAATGATGATGCGCCACGAACAATGTCTGAAAAGGTGTTGCGATTTACTAATTTACTAATCTGGAGAAATTCATTTTTGGGATCTGCAAAACTGTCAACATCCAGTCCAAAAATAGTCGAGGCAATTATATCCACGGCATAGCTGGGGAGGCAAATTAAGTGCATTATTTAGTATTTAATTATATTTTAGATAAGGTCCGGTGATTATGATAAAATTACGATCATATCTAAAGCTCCCCATTTCATTTGTTTTGCTCAAAAAAAATATCTTTAACAAAACAATTTCCAATATCTCCGACACAATCTTATCAGGTCTTCCAGCGACTGCCGTACTTACGTCGATATGAGACTTTTCAATTCCACCTCCTTGCTCCCGGACTCGGGCAGTTGCTTCTTCAAGTGGGCTACCAACTTATCGCCGACTGCATCGGAGGTCTCGAACATGGCCTTCAGCTTGCCAGAGGTGAAGGAGGGCGAAAGCTTGGTGCGCAGATTTTTCCAGCTGGCTCCCTCTAGTGAGAATAGCCCCGCCGACATTGGGTCATTCTCCTCGTCTACGTAAACGCCGCGATCGTGGAAACTGGCAAAATACTTGACGAGCACATCGTGGGCCAGCTGGGCGTCCCGGACCAACAGGGCTGGTCTAATGGTGAGATACATTCCGATCACTGGCTCCTTCGTAGAGTTGTACAGATCGTAAATGGCCATGCCGAAGGATCGCCTTCCCTGCCGCACGGAGTCCAGGACACCAAAGGGAATGGTGGCACCCGCCGAGGGGAATCCCTTGCGGTCCCAATAGCTGAATGTCCACTTAAGGTAAACATACAGAAGGGTCACGGCCCCGATTAGCAGCACTATTCCGATCATTTTGCTAGCTCTGTCCGTGCTTTTAGCGAGTTGAATCGAGACTAACGGTTTTATAGTCGTTGGGAGGGAGTCCCAACCATTTCACCATTCTAGCAGGTGATTACACTACCTCAAAGCCACTCGACGTATTGATAACTATTGAGGTAGGTTAAGGTGTCATTCGAGTTTCCACGGGTACAGACTTTACGGTACCAATGCGCTCTCTCAGTGTGACAAGGCGTTTTAACTGCTTTCAGGCTATGAACAAGTTGCTGATGCAGCCTTATTTCCCATCAGCACCATGAGACCACAATCCTGATATGGCCGATAAGGTCAATAGGCTTTTGATAAGAATTGCCCAATGGTCTTTATTTTAAAACCTATACTCACTACGCATGGAGCTGTCACGGTAAAAGTCACGTTCCAAGTTGCTTTATTGTTCAATTAATTTCTAGTTTCGCTGTAAGTTCAACTTTTTAAGAAGAGTTAAGTAAAATGCCTTAAATATCGAACTTTGTGACCTTAATTTCAGGCCACCACGCATTGGCTGCTTATTTAAGATGGCCAAAAACGAGGGGCTCGCAAAAATTACAGCCACAATCCTATTAGCCGCCTCCATGCCTCTTTGCTTGCCTCCCCACGCATAAATTGCATTTCTCTCTCCATTGTTTGCTGTTTGCTATCTCTTTCCCTGCTAGTTGCACTTTGATGCGCACACAGTCGCAGGATTCTAATGAGATCGGGTGTGTGTGTGTGTGTGGGAGGTGTGGGAGTGGCACACAAATCAAAAGCATTTTTGTCAGCATTTCGGTGGCTTCCGCCAGCGGCAGTGGTTGGGGGAGGTATGGGGCGTGGCTCCTGCTCGAAACGGGGACACATCCTGCGTGAGGCATTTGAAAATAATACGCATCGGAGGCTCTGCACTTGATAGTTTGCCTAGGCTTCTTGCTCTCACACTCTCTCTCTATAAAAAGGCAGAACGGAATCACCATAGCCAGGAACTGTTTGTTAATGCCCTTGGAGAGGGTGTTAAATTTATAGGAAAATGTTTGTAAGTCCATAAAAGTGCTACAGATATGATTATGGTTTTGACATCCTTTGAAATGTGTCTAAAGATTTATACCATAAATACTTAATAAAATATTTTACAATATTATTTAATTACATTTTACTTAATTTACCACTGTTTTTACTTCTATTAATTCGCTGCCTCAAAGCATGCTAATTTTAAATCGGTTCTTCATCAGAGGATTTCAGTCATTCAGATACCGCTCTGATTTCTCCGTGCATCCTCACTGTCAGTGGTCTTATGACAATCGCATAATTGGAGCATTTTGCTAATTAAGTTGTCAGGCTAAAAGTTTTAATTGGCTCGTTTGCGTTCGTGCACGCTTAAAGCCACAAAGTAGATGAAGGATACAAGGGATAAAGGGATGAAGCCTGCTGCCAAACGGCATTCGCAATCGATGGCAGCATCAATAACACAGTGCCGGCAAAGGATATATCCCAGCCATCCATCCAAATATCCATTCATCCAGCCAGCCAGCCATCCATCCATCCATTCATCCGTCCGGGAGCAGATATTGCATCAACACTGAAACTCAATTTGCGTCCACCAAACGATGCGTTAAGCATATAAAAGGCAAAACGGAAGCGACGTTCATGGATAGATTACACACAACTACCTACAAATATGCAGCGTCCCTTTCCAGGGCTGCTTTCCTGCGTGTCTGCAACTGTTGCATATTGCAGTGCGTGCGCCGCCTTTATTGTCCTGATGTTAATGGAAACACCTGCTACATGGCGTAGAAGTCAGCGCTGTCAGGGGCTTCTGGCCGGGATTGAGGGGGTCGGGATTCAGTGTTAAGGCGCCCTTGGTGCGCCCTTATGCAGTGTCAGTCTTTCCCACTTCGCCGGATGGCAGTCAACGGACGGAGAGTGATGCCTTCTGGGAGCGTTTTCAGGTAATGTTGGCTGGAGCCATTTTGCAAAGTGCAGCGGGTAAAAGTGTTTCTGTGTCAGCGGCTGATGATGCCCAGATGCCCTGTCCTGTCCCAGTGACGTTATCACAAATTTTAATGATTGTCTCAGCAGCTCCTTGGCTCTTTTTCTAAAGTTTTTGATTTCACAATTATGCATCGTGTTTTATAAAAATTTTATTACGTTACCTTGGCGGTTTAGATCCTAATGATATATGTTTCCCAAAAATAATTGGTCTTGATGTATGTTTTTGGGAAATTACCTTTTTTCCTGTGTGGCCAAAAGGGCCATGCAAGTGACGAAACTACCCCAAAAGTGCCCTGTGGCAATCATTAGAACTTTATGGCCTTTCGATATAATTTCCAACCCTCTCTGGCTTAATGAGCTCCATGCGGCCGGGCTGGGTTCAATTGAATTGTGCTCTGCAAGTTGGGCAAACCCAATTAAAATTTCCACTGTCCGTTTCGGGACGATAAGGAAAGAAAGGACCGACCGTTCGAAGACCCCCAACATTCCCCCTCATTTCTTATACCACCACTATCGGACACAGGGAACATTTTGGGTTAAGTTTTAACCTAAAATAGGCCTAAAAATTGTATTAATGGAATTCTTTTCTCAAATGAAATATGAAATGAAAACACTTTTATTAAGATTAAAACGGACGGCGACCACAGGATCAATTTATCTGGTTTGGGTTTGGGTTTGTTTGCTTTCTAACGAATTTCCAATTTCCAAATCCTTTAAAAATGTGTCTAAAACTATGCTATAAAATAAAGAAAAAGATATTTACACTGATTTTGGTTCCTGAAACATTTTTTTGAATTTTTTAGACAAATTTTTAACGGATTTCCTTTTTTGGCCATATTATTTTCTCTCTGCACAGGTGTTGCCCACTTTTCACAGCACTTTCCACTCGTTCCCGCACAAACGTTGCACTCGGAACTCACTCAAAGCGAGGGTGCAGTCCAATTCCACTCGTTCCTCACTGCTCACGGAGCGCCTTGGCATATGCAGCATGTTTCAGTCGCTTTTGGAAGGCAGTTGCATTCGATTGCCAGCACTTCAGCAGCAGCGGAAAGGCGGAAAGCCGAAGGCGGAAAAGCGGAAAAGCCAGGAGGAGAAGGGGCAGACGAGGAGTAGAGCAAACACCATCGTTGGTTCGTTTCGACACATTTTCTTTAGTTTTCCTTTCGCCTTTCCATTCGGTTATTGTTGTTGGCCTTTGTTTATTAGTGCGTGTCTGCGCTGCGAGCGGTTTTTCGTAATTGAAACGAGAGCGACATAATTAAATTAAAATTTCCCCGCACACAGTGGCAGCGCACTAGCATCGATAGACGAGGCCCAACTAATCACATTACCAGCCATCAGCCATCGGGCATCAAGCATCAGCACACCAGTCGACTGGTCGTCAGTCGTCAGTAGTCGTCAGCCGGAAACCGAACAAGACTCACAGTTCGCATTGCATACTTTTTGGCGCGCTTCGAAATAAACACACCAAAACACCAGTACAACAACACCAACACCAAGTTCCGCTGCCGTGTGTGTGTGAGAGTGTAGGAGGTCGCCTATCCTGCCAAGCGACCAAATTCATCAACTCTTGTGTCTGGTGAGTTGACATAAAAGAAAAAATTGCTGGCAATAAACGGCGGAGCGTAAGGCGAAGCTAGCAAGAAAATTCGGGGAAAATGCCTTGGGTAAACCAAGTGTCTTGGCCATATTTTTGGTGTGAATGTGCAAATAAGGATCGTAAAGTTTAAACTGCCGATCATACGAAGTCTTTCAAATGTTAAATCAGTGACAATGGGGAACACTTCTTTAACAAGGGGATTTGAAATTGAGGAAGTTAGCTTATTTAAGTTAAGTCGAATTCCTATGTTCAAGGGCGTGAGAGTGAAAATAATAGACCTTAGACTTAGTGAAAATTAGAATTCCTTTTCAAAGTTAGGTCTTAATTTAAGCACAAATTATTAGAAATATTATTATTATTCTAAAAATCATTAAAATCATTTAAGAATATTTACGAATAACTATGAAAGTAGTCTTGACTTTTTTTATTGAGCAATAAATTTCCATATAAGCTATAATAGTACAATTTCCTCTCAAAATTAATGCCTCACAATTAATGCTTACATATACATACTTCCTGAAAAATGGTTTATCCATTATCAGCCCATTTCCATAATGGTTTAAATATTTCTCCGTTATAATGACATCTCTCCTGGGCCTTAAGTGAAAATTGCAATTTCAATTTCCTGCTCTTGTAGCTGTTGCCTCGACAAACACTGATAAACGATAAATTCACAGGGGAAAGGCGAACGGGGAGGAAGTATTAAGCTGTGGACTTCCTTTGTCTTGCTTAATTTGGCTGTGGCCCGAAGTGAAATAAGTGAACCGGAATTGTCGTTCATCGGGGGATCGATGAACCCATTCATAATCCGGGCTACACACCCACCCGCCCATCCATCCGGCCCCATTTATTATCCCTGTTCATCCTTGACCAGAACGCATCTGCGGTTAATGTGCGACAATTGTTCGATTTCCCTGCTCTTCTCTCCGCAATTGCAATTTACTGCGCTGTAATTATTTTACTTGCACGCATTAATGTATTTTTCGACGAAGAGCTGCAATTATAAGCACGCCTGACATTTTTCGTATTTACTATATATACATATATATTTTTTTTCAATTTAAAATCAATTTTGTAAATGTTGCCTTGCCTCTTAAATGGGACAAATGGTTTTTTGTTTGCATGCGAAATTGGATGATTGCATTGCATGTGCATTAAATACGTGTTCTTTTACCTCTTTTTGCGAAGGCCCACACACCCAACCGATCGACCATCCATCCAATCCATTGAATGTCGCCTGAGCCCCGCAATCACATTCGCTCACAATTCGCATTTGTCGCGCTTCAATTATAGTGAAAAATATTTGCATTCCGACGCATTGCACCCGAACGGTAGGGGGGTGTTTGTCTACGTGCCATTCCAAGGATTTCCCGTCGAGTCCTTTAGGTAGGGGACTTAACACGGGGCTTTGCAATCGCATTTCGCATTCGCATTCAGCATTTACGACCATTGTCCCCGCTTTAAGCACCAGATCGATATTATGCATGGTTAATTTAATATTTAATTAAATGCGCATAAAATAAATACCGCATAGCGTATATGTGTTTATATTTTTTAGTTGCGTTATTACGTATACGTATTTATGTATTATTTTTCGCGGCATTACGTATACGTAGGTTTCTCTGTAAAATAAATAATAATTATTGACATAACCAATGCAAACAGTAAATTTTTAACAATTCCTTTGGTAAACTAGAAAAACTGTATTAAAAATAGTTTTCTCTTGACAAAGTATTAAAAAACTGATTTGACTTCAAGCTTTTTTCATGCTTATTGGCTTTCCAATCTTATTAAATTTCATAAAAGCTCCTTCGGCTGCTGCTTCTGCATCCCTCTTGAGCTCGACAAGTGGAATATTCACTTTACAAAATCCGCCAACAAAAGCGTATACATAATTTAATAGAATATTACTTTCTGCTGAGACGGCAGCCGGGCAGATGGCCAATGGCCGAGCCACAATAATGCATAGATAATGCGGTGGCGGCCTAGGCACCATCCTCATCCTTCTAGCCTTCTCTCCCAGAGTTGGATGCATTTCCTGGGGCTGCTGCTTCTGCGTCAACATATTATAATTGTAAAGGCTGCTCCAGCCAGAGGCAATGGCGGCAATGGCGGCAGCGATGGCGGCGTGGGGTCAGTTTAAGTTTCAGCGTGCGTTTGCAAAAGTCATAAAGAGCCCTCCACTTTTTCCACGTTGCTGGCCGGGCATCGCCCGACAAGTACCGGACAAGTTGACATTTTTGGTCCGCGACTCCTGCTTTCCAGCACTTCTTGCCTCTATTCTCCTGCCCGGAGAAAGTATGTTAATAAAAATTTTAATTTATCGCCAGGCATAAAAAGTGGTAAAGTGCTGGGGCAGGGCAGGCCGGGAGTTGCGCGTTTTCCCCGCCTTTAAGCTGCAAGGATATTTTCATATTTTCTTTTTTTTTTTATGTTCCTTGTGTGCTTTAACACGCACAAAACGCGTTCGTTGCCGTCGCCATCGTTGGAGTCCTCAGTAACTTATACACTAGGAAAAATAAATGTTTTTTGATTGATTTAAAAGAATTTGTTTGTAATTAGCGATAGATATTTTCAGTAATTAATGGATTATTTTTGATTTAAGTTAAATATAAAGGCCTTAGAAAAGGTCTTAATGTTTTAAAGATTTCATAAGCTACTTGAATATTTTGTTTTTTATAAATTAAATCGTGGTTTTATACATTTAACTATTTCATTATCCCTTAAATTCTGTAGCTATTTAATTTTACAAAATTTTTGAAACCATATTTTATCAAAAAATATCAATAACAATTTCTTAAATGGTCCCTACATTTTTTTTAAGTTCACCCGAGCCCTTGCAACACCCTCCTCCAGTAATATTGACGGTGTCAGTGACGCCCTCGTCCACTTCGGAATAACCCCCCTACAGCCCACTCAGCGGGGCGCCTGCCTCATCGATAATAGTTTCAAGAGTTTTTCGGCCAAGCAAAATAGAAATGCACGCCAAGTGCCGTCTGCAGATCCCTCAGTACCTCAGTTTCCCCCAATAACAGTCCCCCAATACCAATCCCCCATATACCATCCTTGAATAGAGAGCCTTCCCCCTCGGAAAACTCAACGGATGGCGGGGTGTTTCAGGGAGGCGTCCACTTGAAAGTTCGATTTTCTGTATTGAAAATTGGCGTGCATTAGTTTCAGACTTTCCAAAGAGGTTCCATTGGGGCAAAGAAGAGAGTGGCTGCGGGGTAAATAGGATGAAGATGAGGATGTATATGGGTGGTTACTATAGTCGATTCCACTTTGCATGGCATACCTTTTGGCGTGGCTTTAATTAGTGGCAGATCTTGATTTTCGACCATGTTGCAGTGGGGATTAGTGCATGGTTTTCTAAGAGGATTACAAGCCAGTGCACAGTGGTCGGGCCAATAGGACAAAAATAAAAAAAATGATTTTGAGCTATTCGAGCGAAACCTGGTTTTTCTATCAGCTAATTGTCCAAATTTTACCATGCAATAAGGTCTGCTTGGAATTTCAACGGGACTTTCTGAAAATAGATTGACAAAAGCGTACTTATATTCATGGACTTTTAATTTGTCAGCAGTGGAGTGCACAGACCAAATTTAAAAATTTAAAATATAATATAAAACGCTGTTAAACCAAAATCAATTGGACTGAATATAGTAGATAAAGGTATATACTTTATTTTTACAGAAAAATATATATATAATTTGTGTTGTGTTTCGTGTAAATCTTTGTTAAAAAAGTGCGTCTTTTTAGTTCGTATATGTTGTGTTTACTTAAAGTTTTAACTATTTTCCCCCCGTTGCCCCCAAATGAAATTTATGTGTCGTTATTAACTGATATTTACAGATTATAAAAATGTTTACTTCAGCTGCGGCTACCTGCGGCTGCACATTTGCCATTACAAAACAAATTACCCTAATTTTTTAGCCAAAAATCCGGGTTGTGATAAAAAATCGGAAAAAAATGTTAAAAATAAAAACGTCACCTGAGTACCTCGGGGCACTTATACTTTAGTGAATGCAATACATTTTTTGGATATCGGATGATTTTGTGGACAGTTAGAATAGGATATACACCGAGAACAACCTTTTTTTGTGGGGACTTAGGAGATTCGCTGTTACTCGTAAGCATGTAAATATTTTTTAATACAAAAATTAACAAAAAATTATTGAAATGTTGTGTTATTATATGGTATTTAATTCAATACGCTAATTTTAGCCGTTTCGTCACAACATTTTTTGAAAAGTAGGCAGTTTTGCACCGAATTAACCTTACCCCCCATTAAGCTGTGTACGTTTGTTGCTGGACAAATTAAATACACAATATATAAGTTAATAATTTTTTTTTTACTTTTGGGCACTTATATTTCACCAACGTTCTCATTAAGTGATCAAAAATTAAAAATTTAAAGTTAGGTCTTGGAAAAAAATAATTTTATAAAAATGTTGTATGGGAGCTATAAGATATAGTGATCCGATTTTAACCAAATTTGGTAAAAATGCATAAACCTGTACCAAACATATAATCTGTAAAATTGGTTAAGATATTTTGAAAAACAAAAAAGTTTTTCATACTAAATTTTGATTTTTAACAGATTGTTCCTATGGCAGCTATATGATATAGACGAGCAATATGGCCAATTTTTTGTGGATATACTTAAAACATTTTTCTAGATTTTTGGTGAAAATTTCATAGCGATAGCACATCTAGAAGTATTTATGGCCGCTGTTCCATACAAGCTCGACCACTGTGCAGTGTGTGGTGAGGACTTGTTTTATTAAATGTTAAATTTGTTTCTGTAGGGAGCTCTCTTTTATGTTTATATTCTCGTTGGATACAATACGTTTTCGTGAGATATTAAACCTAAAATCAATCACAGTTAATCACATTTATGGCTCCTAATTTGTACATTTTCTGATTTCCATTTGCCTAGATTAACTTTACCTACCCCTGGCTGACGAGAAACAAATACC